AACCACTAAGAAGAATATATGCAGTGTATTATTTGTTGAAACTGTACTTCCGATTTGATTTGAAACTGTCTCATTGCTATATGTTTATCAATAAAACTGTAGAAAAAAAAAAAAAAGAAGAAATCAAGAAAATGCTAAGCGAAATTGGTAAGGAAGGGACAGGTGGCGTGAACGTCAGTGACCTTCTGACCATGATGACTCAGAAAACGTCTGAGAAAGATACAAGGAAGAAATCCTGAAAGCTTTCAAGCTCTTCGATGATGATGAATCCGGGACAACATCGTTCACAAATCTGAAGCGCGTGGCCGAGGAGCTGGATGAGAACCGGACCGATGAAGAGCTTCAGAAGATAATTGATGAAGCCGACCGAGATGGAGACGGCGAGGTCAACGAGCAGGAGTTCCTGCGCATCGTGGAAAAGCCCAGCCTCTAGTGAGACCCAGCTCGTATCTCCTGCTGCGAGTACATTTGACTAGAGCAGAGCCTGCTGTCCTGTGCAGTCGGGCTCCCCATTTCCCTGTAGAACTGCAGCCGTGGCCTTGAATCGGATTTGGACTTCTGGAAGTGTTTTTCAATATTAAAGTTCTTTGTAAAATGATCCTCCAATTACTTTAATTCTTGACAGCAGAATGAGAACACCTCAGAGTAGGAGGAAGAGTCTCGGCTGTCACCCACCTGCTGTTTCTCCTGGCCTCGCTGTGACTTCAGAGCCACGCACATGTCTGGTGGGGTCAGTACCAGCTGTGGTCCTGTCAGTGGTTCCCCTGCTCATCTGCTGCCAGAGGGCCATGTTCTCCTTTGCAAAACCCAGTGAACACTTGTGCTGGCATTTGGATGTGTGTTAATGCTGTTTGTTTCCTCTTAAAAATAAAACTTTTCTCAATCTGAAAAAAATGATATTCTATATTGGTTTCAAGATACAATAAATGTGCAAAACTTCCATATGAATCTTCAAATTTGTAATTTGGAGATGGAGAATTAATTTTTAATTTTGGTCTGTGATGACTATGTACTTTTAAGTAGATACGACAGTTGTAGAAGGAAAAGGAGAAAGAACTATAATGAATGTAATGGGGGATTTTTGTAAAAAGACAAGTCTGTAATACAAACATATACAATATATGATAATTTATTTTATTTTATTGATAAACAAATAGCAATAAAACAGTTTCAAAACTGATCAATAGGACAGTTTCAATAATTAATACATTGTACATTGTTGTCGTCTTAGTGGTTATCCATAGTACAAGATGCAGACAGGATATCCTGTCCAAACACTATTAGTACAAATCTTTTTTCTCATTGAATTAAGCGAAAGTAGCTGTATATCTATCCTAACTATTCTGCATATACAGATACAAATTGTGTCCCCCTTTTTTGTTTAGTCCTGTCAGAAATGGGTATTCCATTGGCATCTAAATACTATCGGTGTGTATGAAT